AACCTGCACAATTAATTTCATGATGCAAAGAAACCAGAGCAGCAGGCCCTGGGGAAGTGGCCTTGTCCGGAAGCAAATATAGCAATTAAGTATTGGTGTGGCACTTCCAGAAGAGGGTTGCTACATACTCTACATACTTTAATTGCCCCCTAGTTAGTCACCTGCTAGCAATTGTGCCCAAACTACCCGTCACAGAGAGAGGCCAGGAGGGCAGAAAAGCTGCCAATGGAAGAAGTGATTCCCACAAGCAAGCTGCAAGAAGAACTGAGGGCTGTCAAGACTAGGGCAGACTACAGCTATGGGAGCAGAGGAACAGGGGCCTGGACCTAGTCAACACCATGGAGCCAGGCATTCAACACTCCTTGGCTTTCCTCTCCACCACAGCCATTGTTCTTCCTCACGCTTTCCTGAGTACAGACTGAGTACAGTCACGGCTGGACTGACCATACCAGAATGACAGGATGGTGAGGCACTGCAACACGTTGCCCAGAGAGACTGTGGGTTCCCCATCCCTAGAGGGGCTCAAGGCCAGGTTGGATGTGGCACAATCAAGCCTGAGGCATCTGTTCAAAGTCCTCCCAAGAGGACCTAACACTCATACTCTGGAGAGACCACAAACAGAAGCATTTGAGCCACTACCATCCACGTACTTACATGAGTTAAGGCCATTTCAACTAGCACATACACAAACCATGATCTCCCAAGACTAGGGCTAAGGAGGGGAAAACTGCCTTAAGATGGTCTCAATGCAGGAGGCTCTTAACACAGAAAATTACCTGAACTGCAGGTCAACCTGCGTGGAGCTAAGCACACAAGGAAAGAGGCAAGTGCTGGACTATAGAGACAGGTTTCAGAACAGGCTGTGAGGTATAAGCCCCTACACACAAGCAGGCTTGTGTATGCAGTATATTTAGTTTGTTCTCAACTGCTGGCTTTTTCCAGGCACGAGGGAACAGTCATCTGACTGCCTAAGTGAAGAAACACTGCAAAACTGGCAATCCAGCTGGCAGCACTCAATCAGCTTCCTGAAAGGAGGCCATCAACAGCTGAGAAGTGTTTAGGAGCACCAGAGACAGAGAACAGCAGTGCAGAAGGCACTGAATACATCAAGGAGGGAAGGCAGCTGGTAATCATTTGCTCTCTCTGTAAGCAGCTGATAAGGCCACCTCTGAGATTGCAGGTTTTATAAGCTCTGCCATCAGCAGAGCATACACATAGCATTTAATTGCTCCAATCCTATGCATCTATGTCATTCCCATTTTTTTTAATTTTTTTTTTTTTCTGGCTAGCTTGACAAACTGTTGAGTCAGAGTAATTCCAGAAGTTTTTAAAATAATCGCTTAAAGGGACATTGTAATTACCCAATTATGTTTTTTCTTAAGATTGTAGTCTACAGCTTCTGTAAATTCTGAAAAAGCATATGAGCAGCTTTACATCAATATGGTTATTAGCAGTACTTTTTCATATCACTTTGATTTTCATATCACATCAGCTTAAAAACAGATTTTCAATAGTTCATCCTAGACTCTGGGCTATCAAACCTCCCCAGACTGCTAGCTATTCAGTTCCGAAGGCAAATGAAAGGATGTACTATTTAAACTCTTCCTAGAAATTCTGGTTATCTATTTTTCCACAGCTCTCTAAATTGTGTATCTGTTGGAGACTATGCTTTCACTCCTTACATTGAAATAAAAACAAACACCAGTCACCCATCTTGTCTTGGTTTTCCATAAGTAAAACCTGGCATCTTAATGCTCAGTTGTTTGTTTTTTTAACTTAATGTTCTAGCTGGCAATACAAAGGTATATTTGAATGTGTGCAGATCAAAGGTGGAATTACCTGTTACAGGTTGCTGGATTTGTCCTTTCTCTCCTTTCCCTGCTCTATACACATCTATAGCCTTGATTATGGCAAGCTGTACAGTTCAGGTGATGAGGTGACTAGTAAGCTTCAAGTCTTCTTTTTTAAAAAGAAGAAAGTCTGAAAAGAAAGATTTAAAAGAATCTTAAAATTAAAAAAAAAAAAAAAAAAAGATAAAGAAAAAAGCTCAGCATTATTTTTCACAGCTAAAAGCCTCTCTATATGAATTCTGACTCCTTTAAAATCCTGGAATGCTTTTATTAGTTGTGTTTGGTGTGTGTGTGTGTGTGTGTGTGTGTGTGTCCCGAGCCACTTCAAATTTCCACAAATTAGAAACACATTCGAATTTCTGGAAATCAACAGTCTGGTTGTTTTTTCAATAAGGAAAATGTTACAATAAACACAACTCCAGACTGTGTGAGAAATAACTTTCGGGTTGGGTTATACTGAGCAGTGCAGGACCAGCCTAAACATTTGTGCACACTGGCATATAGAAAGCCCAGCACACAAGCCCAGAGTCTTAAATGAAGTTCATTTGCATTTTACAGCTTGCAAGATCTGTGCAAACATCCACTATCTGCTAATAAATCACAAGAGACAGCTAAGCTTCCAGCAGATTAGGTAGGAAGTCCGTGGCACAATCACACCATGTTATAATGAGGAAGGAAGCTAGGAGAATTTTGGAACAGAAGATGGAAAGTTGGTTTTGGTTGTGTGACATAAACTCTTACAAGACAATGTTACACTGTTCCATTTGCCTGGTGAAAACTTGTGGTAAGACTGTGGGGAAATGGAAATATAGGAAGTAACATCTGTAAAATCCTGTTTTAAAATCCCAGTCATCAAGACATAAAACTTGTTATGCTCTCACACTCGGTGAAAAAGAATATGCTGAATTTTCAACAAAAACAGAATAAAAAAACAATTTCTATTTGTTTTGCCTTTTTGTCTCCAGTATATGTTTTTGTTTCTATTTTGCTTTTCATTAAATTGCATAAGCCTGAGGTTACATGTTTGCCTGGGTCTTCTGCTCAGAATTTTTTCTCATATATACATCTACAGTTATATTATAGTGCACTGTTGGAGAATGTGCTTCAAAATGCCCACAGACTATTTCAACAAACTATTTCAACCTCTTGAGATTTAAAGCTTGTATTACCTATGAAGCATTGAAGAAATAGGGACAAGGTATGTTAAGAAAGAACATCTCATGATGACACAGATTTGTAACACAGAATGTAAATAAGCCATACTTGGAAAATTTTCATATGACATTTTATTTGTATTCCAAGCTCATGCAATAACAAGCCTTTAAAACAAGATTCCAGATCTGATTGGCAAGAAGTTCAGTATTGATACAACCTGGGGAAAATTTCCATATTTGAGGAAATGCATTCTTGGCATCTTTGTGAAGTCATGCAAACAGTTGGGATGTAAAGAAGAAAGAAGAAGGTGGAACTTTCATGAAGAGGATCGTCTCTTTGCATTGTCATTTTGAGACTCCTTCCTGCTGTCAGTTCTGAATGTGACTCTCTCTCTTGATGTAATAATTGCAATCCCTGTTTTGCCTGCAGGTGATTAAGACTCCTTCTCTAGCATTAAAGTATTTGTTATACCAACTGCTAAGCTTTACAGGCACAAATAAAAAGCATAATAATCCCTATGAGTACAGCTACAACTCTTCTTGTGGCATTTACTCTTAGCTTCTTATAGAGACATAACAAATTCAGCCTTTACTTTGCTTAGAGAGTCAATGGTACATAAAACAGGCTATTAAAGTGCATAGTTACATAAATGCTTATATTATATGGCATAACCCATTAAAACCACAGAGCATCCACACCAGATGTTCAGTATTTGCTGATCTGAGTTAGATGGGATTTCTAGAACTGAGAGGGTAACTTTGGGATACCTCAAAATGGCCTCAAGATGGCTAAGCAGCTCAAAGAAATCAGAGACTGCATTTTGCCTCCTGCATTTGGAAAAGAAAAAAAAAAAAAAGCCAATTTACTTTTCTTTGTAGCACACCTCAAAATACTTAAAATTATAATAATCAGAAAGATTTGGAATTTGTTCCTTCAGCTGAATAAACTCATAACAAATTCAAGTTCTGTAATCATTTTCAGTCTCCATTTTTGTTCTCAGGATGCTATTTTGTGTCATGCTTTTACCACTGAAAAAAAGTGTTGCACTTCTGTGATATCCAGAGAGTTAAGACAGTTATGAAGTAATGACTGCAGCATTTCATACTATTTAAGAAGTTCATCAACATTATTTCATGTTATCTAAAAGATGCAGTGTCCAAAAGTACTGCTCCCCCTAAATATTCACAGAGTGGGAATTACTAAATGCTCTCTCCTGGACAAATAGCCTCTACAAGGCCACAGAACCTTCTGGACTGACCAGAACAACAGATACATTTGTGGGTGATGATGCATAGGCATTCAGTACACATTCTCTATGTTATTTGCACTTTCTCTTTTCCTATCACTTTCCTGAGCAGTTTATTAGCAACACAGGATAGGTTTCAGCATTAAAATGGCATACAGCAGACATGGGAAACCCATGTGGGTTCTGCTGAAGGAAGCACTGAAGATCTACTTATATCTTCATGTGGGTCCTTTTTTCAGTGGGGGTCCTGTGAGACTTCATGGCTACTATTTTACATAGAACTGTTCCTCCATCAACATGCAGCCATGTCACTCTGTGCTTTAGGATCCTCCAAGTTTTGATTGTACTCCCCTGAAATCTAAATGAAATATCCTTTACTCTGCAGAAGCTCTCTTTCTATTCCTTGTAAGGCTTTTACATGCTAGTGCTAATTAATTGGTGTGTTTGTGAAGGATTGACACTGGGAATGTTCCTGTTCATTAAGGGGCTGCTTAATGTTCTGTTCTCACACTGTAAGTTTAGTGAAAATAATTCAAGCTTCCCCAAGACGTAATAACGAAATTTCACCCTGACTTTTAAAATGCATTATCCAATATTCTGTTTCTCCCAAATCAAAATTTACTTAACCATAATACAATTCTGAAGAAAAAAAAGTATTTGGTTCACTTTTGAAATAAATTAACAATATTTTAAGGAGAAAACCTACCTCTAAAACTGAATTAAACTACACCTATGAAAAAGGAGTCACATACGTTCCTAATATGAACAGAAGAATGAATAACCCGAAACATAACAATTTTAAAGGAAGGACTGTATTTATTTAAAAACAGAAGGAACATCAAGATTTAAAACACAAATGTCAAAATTATTGCACAGTCAGCAAACTAGTACTGATTGCCTGGCAGCCTTTTTTTACAACATCAGTGTGGATTAACATGACCCGGCAGGTTCAACTCCACAAAATCCACGCCGTGTACCTTCTCTGTTTACATCACAGACCATCTTATAGCAGTAAAATCATTTTTTCTGGTGTATGTATAAACATCATACAGTAAAACAATAAATGCTTTATGAAAGCTAGAAAGAAGAGAGAACATCTCTTTACACTTTTACACAAACAAACTCAAGTAACAGATATTTACTATCCCTTTTGCAGTCATTTAACATAGGAAGTTCCAAGTATAGAAACAAATATATATATTAGAAGGATTTGTTATAAATAGCCATAGACTTTATAAGTAGCTTCAAATATACAATCTTCTGTATAGCTTTGAAAAATTAATGTCCCAGTATAGTTTATCAACAAAAAATTCATCCACAGGCAAATAGGCAAATATTCTTAATTGGGATGTGACTCTGTGTATGTCCCAAAGAGTCTGTCCCAGTGGGTGAAGTAAGGAGCATAGTTTGACTTGAATTTCAGATGATGGAGATCATGATGTGGTGCTCCTCCAAACCAACCGAAAGGCACAAGTCGGTGAGTTGACCACGGAAGGTCATATCCTGAATGGTCCTCCACTGACAACCAGATGTTGACAAGGAAGAAAATCATTTCTGTCAAAGGATGGCATCCAAGGAGGAATGGATTGATGGCAGCAAATAATCCCAGTGACAGCAGTTCCCACACGCTGGAATACTGCGTAGTAAGAGCAAACGTCGATACGTGCTTGTGATGCACCTTGTGGATGGTCTTGTAGAGCCAAGGCACTCTGTGATGAAGCAAATGCCACAAGAAATATTCGAAATCAAACAGAAGCAGGCAAACTCCTACTTGCAGCAGGACCTGAGGCAGCTCTGGAGCTATCACCGGTAGATTCATTGGTTTCCAGTACCAGTGAAGAAATGTCACTGGGAAAATCCACACAACATGGTGATACACACTCTGAATAAAGCAAGGCACCATCATTCCAAGAGTTGGATAGCTCTGTGGCTGGATTTTGTATTTTCTCAAGTCTGGCAATCTAGTGCTTAAAAAATCCAGTGCAATAAAAGGAAGACAGAAAGCCATGTACGCTGTAAAAGAAAACAACACTGGAAAAAACGGTGACTTGATTAATGTCTCTTTTGCTCTGACAAAGTCCCAAAGAAACTGGAGGCACAGCCTATCCAGCTGTCTCTCCATGGTGCAGCTGAGCAGCACTCTGTCCGGCACGCTGCAGTTCATGCTGATTGCAGTCTGAGGCTCTGTAAATCCTGGTAAGCTTTTATCTAGGCTGTTCAGAAGACAACTCCGCCCAGAAACTCCTTATTTAGCTTGGCTTTAAGGAGGAAGTTCCCTTCCTGTATAGAAGTGGTGTAATGCATTACAATCAGGACAGAATTAGCTGATCAGGTAATCACTGGAGCTCCACAAAAGACTTGCATAGTAGGAAAAATAAATTGAAACGTAGAATTCTCTAACAGTGGAAGGGGGTAAGAATATTTTCCACTCCACTTACTGCATACACTTGCAAGACTGCTGTCTTTTACTCATTATATCAGCCTTTGCTATCCTTTTGCCTTTATAAGTGAGGAAACATAGTCTATTTTTTATTTTTTTCTGTGACTGCTACAAAGATGTATATGTACCTAATCTCCAGGTCTGACCCATGGATGTTTGGTGGTTAGTGGAGCTAAATTATAGGTACTACATTCAGACTGGAAGCACAGTGTAGATCTTGTAAGGTTTCACAGAATCACAGAATCACAGAATGGCCAGGGTTGGAAGGGACCTCAAGGATCATCAATCTCCAAACCCCCTGCCACATGCAGGGCCACCAACCTCCACGTTTAATGCTAAACCAGGCTGCCCAGGGCCCCATCCAACCTGGCCTTGAACACCTCCAAGGACGGGGCATCCACATCCTCTCTGGGCAGCCTGTTCCAGTACCTCTCCAGGTAAAGAATTTCCCCCTGATGTCTGACTTCAACTTAAAACCATTTCCCCTCGTCCTACACATATCAACCCTTTCAAAGAGTTGATTCCCCTCCCCTCTGTAGGCTCCCTTTAGGTACTGAAATGCTGCAATGAGGTCACCCCACAGCCTTCTTTTCTCCAGGCTAAACAAGCCCAGCTGCCTCAGCCTTTCTTCACAGGGGAGGTGCTCCAGTCCCCTGATCATCTTTATGGCCCTCCTCTGGACCCTCTCCAACAGCTCCCTGTCTTTCCTGTACTGCGGGCTCCACACTTGGACACAGTACTCCAGATGGGGCCTCACAAGAGCAGAGTAGAGGGGGACAATCACCTCCCTGTCCCTGCTGGCCACGGGATGATTAAGATGTATACCAATATTTTTGAGGGATATGATGTGGAATTCATTATTGTACCAAGTATGGTACAAGGATACGATTCTTCACCTAAGCATCACAACTTAATGTAAATAAAAGATTCACTGATTAGACCAGTGTCCTCTAAAGAATCTTCTTTTGATCACAGACAAGCACTGAGCAGAAAAAAAGCTAGCAAATTTGAATCTTAGCATTTCTAATTACTGAAAGTATTTCAGTGATAAAAAACAAGAGTTCTTGATTCAACGCTACAAGATCACTTCTTTTGTGCTTCTTGAAAATGGCAAACAAACCTTTGAATACTTAGGGAAACAATTTGCCATCGGCTTCCTATGAACTCACCTCTTTTGTAGACACAGCATTTATTCTAATATTGGAAATGAGCTCAGCTTCCTGGATGACTTTATTAGCTTGTTCAGATGATTTTAAATCTTTACAGGTGTAAATGAGAGTTTCCTAATTTCTTAATAATTAAGAATAATGAGTTAGCAGTGAACTTTTCTGATCTATGCATGGATGTTTCTTAATCCTTAAGTTTATCTTCAGCTTCGGCTATTTCGTCTTCAAGAGATTCTGCTCTAAAATAAACACAAATTTTGCTCCCTCCTTAGACTTCCAGTTTGCTGAAACAGTAACGTTACTATCACTTGTGCTATTATTCTGTCAATCAGAAGTTTTATGTTGGAGACAGCTCTGGCACAGCCTTCAAAAACTTTATCTGTTGCACACACGTTTTAGAAATAGATTCAGATTTTCTGCTGACATGAGATTGTGCTGTTGAATTCAATTAATTCAGGTTGTTGAATATAGGGAAACTAAAGCCCTGTGAGACATTCCAATCTGATGGATGAGGACCTATATCCAAGAGATTTGTTTCAGTCCTGAACGTATGTTTTAAACTGACCTCCATTTCACAATAAGAACATGAAAAATGCATTTATAACTCAATCAATGTGTAAGACACAACATTTTCTTCTGAGAGATGCTTTCTGTTTATTTATGTAGTTACAATCAGAAATTAAGCCCCCAGACACAATATATGATTCTCCATTTTATTAGATTTATGCAAGGACTGATTCTTCTCCATAATATATTCCAAATCTGTCAAAAGGGAGATTGAGGGAAACTGATTAACTGCCCTAAAGACAGTGTTCCAACTAATTATTAATGGCTATATGAATTCTCATGAAGCTGTAGGACCAATTACATCTATCAGCTAAAACTTTGGCATTTTGCCTGCAGGTTATGTCATAGGAAAATATTCTTAAATCCCTTAAGGAACAATAACAGAATTTTGCAGCCTTACTTCTAGTACATCCTGTAACATAAAGCATAAACGAGCTGAGGGCTGCAAGCACAGCTTACCTCAGAGGCAACCTGCAGCTCCGAGGCAGACAAAGCCACCGTCGCTGTGCCCCATCTGCTGGCGCTCAGGAGGATGAACTCTGCTGTCAAGTTGCACCCTGCTGGGAATTAATTCAGGCTCAGGAAAGCGAATCGCCATGCACCAGAGACAGCAAATTCTTCTCCAGAAACCGATTTCAAGTTCCTTCGCTTTGCCATCAAAACTTATTTTGCATATTTTCCTTCCTCTGATTTAGGTTTTCTTGTCAACACAAAGCGAAGAAAAGACAAAGCATACACAAATCCACTCTGTACTTAATTCAACAATACAGCCCTGGCTTTTTTCGCTCAGCTTCCCCCTGTGTTACAGGACTCTAAACGAGTCTCTTAAAAAGCCAAGACTGCTGCTCTGGAGTTAGGTTGAAGGGCACATAGCTTGGAATGAGGCCCCGCAAAGGGTCTTAAATAGATTCCACATGAGCACAAGACACAGGCACCCACCCCAGGCCCTGCAGTGAGGTAAATAGCAGAACACAAACAAGTGGTCATGAAAGCGAGGAAAAGTTAGTAAGAAGGGAAACCGGTATGTGCATGCTGAAACCAATCTCACAGCAGCAGAGGCAAAACCCTTTCTCCCTCCCACCGGCCTCCTGCTCTCTGGGCAGACAGATGGTTGCTGTACCAGAGCTGAGGCACAGCCCAGTGCAGCCGAGCCCGCTAGCACAGGCGGGTGCTGCAGAGCGGAGAGGAAAACTTAGGACAGTGACAGGGGAGCAGGCGAATAGCTGCAGCAAACGATGCTAAAGGCTGTCCCTTCTCTCGCTTTAAAGACAACTAATCAAACTGGAATCGCAGCGAAACTGAAGCCTTCGCACATGGACTCACCTTGCTGCAGGAGCCCGGTGCGAGGAGCCCGCCCCGCCCGCTGCCCTCCCTCCCGCCGCCCCCGGGCCGGGACGGCCGCCCGGTTCTGCTCGGCCCTGTGACGGCTGCGGCGGCCGCGCTGCACAACGGCGCCACCCTGCGGAGCCTTCCGTCAGGGGCTGCCGGCTGGAGGGGCTCCCGCCTGCGGAAGCGCTCCTGGAACAGCAAAGCGCTGGGCAGGGGATGGCGACTTCACGAAGTTGGGAGGCACAGATTTTTGTCACAGATGCGGCTGGAGGTTGAGTGGGAAAAAAAAGGGCTTCGCATATTTACGTCTTTTTCAACTTGTAGACTCTTCATGTTTTGGTATATTGTCAAATCCTGGAGGTGAATCTAGAGAAGGGACAAGAGCCACTACTTCCTGCAGCCCCCCAACACCGGGCTCCCTGGTGTGCTGCGCACTTGAAAACCCCTCCTGCACACATTTCTCTCCTGTTTGGATGAAAATCTTCAGATCAGCCTACTTTTCTTAACAGAACGAGCAGGTTTTTGCAATCTGAGTATTTCCGTACCAAGGTGTGCCCATCTGTGCTGCAGATCAGGAGCGGCAGCCCAGGATGGTGCGTGCTGCTCACATACAGACAGGTCAGTGAGTCTGACGATCCATGAGCTGCACAGGGATCGCTGTCTCCAGCTCCCCGCTGTAGTTGGCTCATATTGCCAAATGCCAGTGGAAGGTGTCCTATGCTCTCTGTCAGCTTTTGTATTATTTGAAGCTTATCTTTCAGCCAATCTTCAACATCACTGTAAGAGAAAAATGGTCTATAGAACAGGCATCAAGTACGCAAGATCTGCTTCAAAAAATGCAGCATTCAGTATTGCTCCTTACTAGATCAAAAGTCTTGCTCTTCTCCATCACATTCAGATGTGTTATCTTGCATGTCTCTTTCCATTGACAACGCCTCTCCAACTTTGTCTTATGAAATGCTTGTAACTAGCAGGCCAGGGACAGCACAGCAGCTCCCAATTTCCACAGACATCCCTGCTCCAGCAAAGGAGAGGAGGTCCAGAACGGCTTTGTTTAAAGCTTCCATTATTCTGGTTTTATTTCCAGACACACAGGAATTCTAACAGGTAACAAAGCTGGCAAAACACCCTGCTATCCTGACTGCACATCTATTGCATTCAGGATGGACAGAAAGGTATGGACTGAGCTTATTTATTACTGATGCTGGCCATTCACGTCAAATTCACCAAGAAAAAGATTATTTCCCTGTTGTATAATGTGGTTACATGCTATTTATGAGATTACCAGACACTCAGTTAAGCAATCTAATTACCCAAGGTTTAAGAATGTAACACAAGAAGCTTTTCACCACGTCAGTATTTTGAAAGAAACTCTTAACCTACAGGCTTAGAGAATGACTAAGTAGTTGAGCAGTTATTTATAGTTTGTACCTTACCTAGAAGTCTCAGAAAAATCTTCTGAAACAATATGAATGGCCCTTTATGTTTAGGCAAAGCCTTTCTGATAACAAAAGTAAAATGGAAGTTGTACTTTTATATTGTACTTGTTTTATGGATGAACAGCTGTGACAATAGACTTGGCTCTCTGCATTCTCTGCCACAAAGGTTCACAAGCATACATGAAACAAGAAGTCAAACAGATCACATCACTCCAAACTCTGAGCAGGTCTCTCACATTTATTGAAATATCTCAAGTTTAATGAATGTAAGACACATGGCTTTTGCCATCATACTATCACAGCTGCAGAGTTAGTCAATTGGGATTCCTACAGTCTTCCTTCCAGCACATCAGTGTGAAGCAAATGTAGCTGCTACAAATACAAAGCAAACTTAAAGGTCCTGCTAGGAATCACAACTGAAATACCACAAACCACTTTTTTCCTTAAACAAAGCCTGAGGACTCCCTGAGACTGAATTAGGAGTGAAAAAAAAAAAATAACAACAAAACAAACACTAATTTATGGCTTACACGACTTCTTGTGTGGTTTCCTTTTTCCAATTAAAAAAAAAAAAAAAAAAAGAAGAAGAGGCTGCCTGAGTTTAAAGTGTACTGTTTTCTATGCCATATACAAAAGGCAGTTCCTTCTCTTAGGATTACAGAGATCTGGAACAAACTCCAACTGTGGCACAGAAATTACCATCTGGACTGAGGTAACTGACTCCGGAGATTGTTCATCTCCATTAGGCATGAAATTCAGAGGAGCCAAAGTTCTCTGCACAGTCAACGGAAAGAGCAAGGCACCTATACCAGAGACAACTGTAGCTCCAAAGTCAGGCCTCTAAAGCAAATGTGAATTCTCTACCCCCACTGAATGGGGGCTTAGCCCCATTATAAAGTGGAAACAGACAAATGGAAATTGATGTAAATACTGCCAGGCTTCACCACCGTGCTTTACAGTTCCTGAACACAATGGCGGCAAGCACCATACAACCAGCTAAAAAGTAAACAGACTTCCAAAGAAGCAGATGGAAGAGTCCATGCAAACTAAGTTGCTCAACATATAGAATTAACACATTGGCTCTTCCCTGACCAGAAGTGTAGTGGCAGGGGGAAAGAAAGGTTTTCTAGTGGTCAGTGCAAATAAAACACAAATGTTTTACATCATTCTCCTCGTAAGTCACAACCTATTGGCAAAGATAAAAGTGGTATTTCTTTTATTCCCTCTAACTTCTTCTTCTGTTCCAGGATTTAGCAGGGCAAGTAACAATCCTTATCCATAGCTATTACATGGAACATGGAAAGCTTCAGTGATGCTGTTTGATTAGTGCACTTTTCTTGATTTCCAATCGACAGTGGTGATCTTCTATGACTTCAAGACAATTCTTCTTGGCAATATTGAAAAAGAAAATCACCTGATGTAGCTAGCTTCTGAATAATGGCTAAAATAACACAACAGGAAGTCACTAAGTGCTTTTTGAAGTACCAGCATCAAATGGGGTCACTGCAATACAAGGAGTACTTCTGACAGGTACTCAGAAGTGGCAATGTAGTAAGAACTGGCAGCATTTCACACAGAGCAAAACACTTCTAAATTCTCAAGTTCTCTGGTGCTCAGTGGACTATTTTGTCTTTCAGACATAACTAAATCTATACACATGATATGTGTGCAAAGTTACACTGCTTGTTTTTTGATCTTGTGCCACTGTGTGCAAAATCAGCAGGTTAGAATGAGGATTTTTGCAGAGGGAAAAATAACACTGAGGAAAAAAATCAATTGTGAATCCTATCCAGTAGTCATTCCCAGCATTTTAAAAACATAACATAAATAAGCAATGTAGCATTGCCAGAAAAGCAAATGCTCCAGAAAAGTGAAATTCTGGTGAACTAATACTCTGAAATACAATGCTGGTTTACGAATACTTCCTCATCATGTTAATCATTTCATTATACATGCGGTGAGGTGCATCAAGGCCCCAGATGAAATCCAAGTGTTCCCATTCTGGAATGTGTTTGTGGTAAACCAAGTTTGTGATCTGAGTGAGCAGCATAGCAACATCCTTTGGGTCTGCCAGCAAATCCTGTCCACCAGTCCATACAGCAGTTGGTACAGTCATCTCTTTTACTTTGTAGAAAGGGGGAGTAGACTGAGGGACACAAAAAATGGAAACGAAAGCATTAGAAAGAACAAGTCTCTAGGACAGTACTAAACTGCAGCATAATATACTAGTAACTGTAAAGATATGTCAGATTCTGACTTTCTCTTTTGTTTTTGGACAGCCAGAGGCATAGATGGAATCCTGACTTTCAAGAAGAAAAGTAATTCCAAAGTGTTCTGCAATATTATATTATATACAGCAGTAAAAATGTGGCTTGGAGAGCCTGCAAGCTAGGAAAGTAACACTGAGACTTCTGAGACTTCTCAGTACACATTTCATTCAAGAATTTCAAAACCCCAGTCAAACAGAAGTGACAGCTCCTCTGGAAGTACAGTACTGCAGTATTTTCCAGTCACTAAAATGACGAGGAGCAAAATATTTTTAGTACTACACATAGCAATTCAGAAACAAACACAATTGAAGATTAAGAAGCTGAGGATAAGCAATATGCACGAATTTACAGTATGTCCCTACTTGTGAGAAGTGCACTGGGATTTCATGACATAGGCAGAATTTTAATTACATTTTGACAAAAGGATGACCTTCAAGAAACACTGTGCCACCACAACTTCATATCTGAGCATGGACTCTGTAATGATTGAGGACTACCTCAGAGCTGTACGGCTCTGTGTTTCTTGATTGTGGGTTTGGTGGGTTTTTTTGTTTGTTTGTGGGTTTTTGGGTTTATTTTTTGGAAGGGGTACTCCGGGGGGGGGGGG